AAGAGCTGGATGGGGGGGACCCTTGGCAGATCCTCCACTGCAAACCCTCAGCTTGGGACACTTTTGGGTGGGATGTCATGATATGGATTCATTGTTTGAACTCTACCGCCTTCATGCCTATGCCAGGGATAAAGCTTGTAAGGTCAGCCTTCCCCAGGGTGTTGTTTCTTTTGTGCTCTAAAATTTTGGTCCCCTGCAATGGACTGAATATCGGTGTATCCCCCACTCCAAATGCATAGAGATCCTAATCCCTAAAGTAATGGCATTAAGGAAGTAATTAGGTCATGAGGGTGGAGTCCTCATAAATGTGATTAGTGCCCTTATAAAGGGACTCCAGTGAGCTTCCTCACCCCTTCCACCACTTGAGGACACAATGAAAACACAGTTGCTGTCCATGACCTGGGAAGCAGGCTCTCACCTGATAACCTGCTGGCACCTTGATCTCGGACTTCCAGGCTCCAGAACTGTGAGGAATAAACTTCTGTTGTTGGTTATTCCCCAATCTATGGTATCTGTCATTGCAGCCTGACTAGATTAAGATATCCCTTTTCACCATTTGTCACCAAGTCCTCTCACTGAGCTCCCAGGGAGGCATTTGTTTAGCTGTGGCTCCATTAGCCAGCAGTCAAACTTCTTATCACCACATTTTAGGTGGGCTTTCAGCCTTGGCAATTGGGCACACTCCATATTTTTTTTTAGGTTTTGCTTTCAATACTTTAATACAACAACAACTTCTGTTTAAGATCATGGGCTGTTTTGTGGTAGCCATCTGGATTGCTGTCTTCTGAATGCCGATTTCACTCCAATGTTTGGGTAAAAGAGGTAGGTTTTACACTTGTAGGGATGCTGAGCAAAGAAGCGTTCCCTTTTATAGGGCTTGGGTGGAATTTTTGGGGGTGTCCCGGTAAAGGAGAAAATTCAGGATCAGCATCTCCAAAGTATCCATGTTCTGCTCATATATTGCACTGGCCAAGCACAGAGTTCGGAGCAAAACAAAGAAGCCCGTCTGTTGTGACCATCCTGCTGCCTTGAGTCAACTCCAGCCCATTTCTGTGCAGCCCTGGGATCGGAGCAGCTGGGAACACCGGCTGCTAGAGAAATCAGTATGAAAACAGCTCCGTTCCTACTGCCTCCCTGAACTTCTGGGAGAACTTCAGCATCCACGTCCGACAGGGCAATCCGGAGAGGCAGATTTCTGTTTTAGATTAACAGGAAGATTTATCATGCCAGAAGGTCAATATTTACCTTGGCTCCAGCTTGATGAGTATTTACTTCTTTGTTCAGTGGCTCTCTCTGCTGACTTCAGCAGAAGCGAAGTTCTGCTTTTTGTCTGCTCAAGAGGATGCTGACTGATATTTTCTCATTGGAAAAGTGGAGGAGGAGCCCACTTCTCTGGTGGTGGTTGGGGGGGTAGGTTTGTCTTCCTCCACTAAGAAACCGGATCCCTCTTTGTATAAACAACTCTAGTTTTAAGATGCTTTTGAACTTACAGAAGGCAGAGCAGAGGATCCCAGAAAAAACAAAACAAAAAACTTTTCCTCTCATCTCCTTGTCTAAAAAATCTGGATGATGAGAACACCTGCTTGAAACACACCTGACACTTACTTGTCCAGTTTTCATTTTATCCAGATTCCGGGGGTTATGTAATCACCAAAGGTCACCCAGGAATTGGAAAAGAAGGCACCAGCTCTATAACAGGGTTCCCAACTCCAAGACTTGAATTCTTTCTTGGCTCTTGGGAACCATGGCTTCTGCCTCTACTAAGGTTTTAGGGCATGCCGAAACCGGTTTGGCTCAGTGGATAGAGCATCAGCCTGCGGACTGAAGAGTCCCGGGTTTGATTCTGGTCAAGGGCATGTACCTTGGTTGTGGGCACATCCCCAGTAGGAGGCGTGCAAGAGGCAGCTGATTGATGACTCTCATCGATGTTTCTTACTCTCTATTTCTCTCAGTTTCTCGCTGTAAAAAAATCAATAAAATATCTTTAAAAAAAGATTTTAGGGCATGCTGGGCATAGTTTGAAATACAGAGACAAATACTTGTGTAGCATGCCAATCAGAGACCCACCAGGGAGAGAAATATTTGAAAATGGGACAGACCTTCCCAGGGCACGCTGTGCTGGATTTTCAGGGTTGCTCAAACTTTCCCACTCCTGCCACCCACCACAAGTGTGTCTTATATTGAAAAATAAGGTAAATTGCATATTCTACTCAATTACATTTCAGTACACTATTCAGTTTAAGATAAGGTTTTATTTTAAAAATTAAAAAAATATATATTTTATTGATTTTTTACAGAGAGGAAGAGAGAGGGATAGAGAGAAACATTGATAAGAGAGATTCATTGATCAGCTGCCTCTTGCACCACGCCTACTGGGGATGTGCCGGCAACCAAGGTACATGCCCTTGACCAGACTCGAACCTGGGATCTTTCAGACCGCAGGCTGACGCTCTATCCACTGAGCCAAACAGGTCTCTGCTTGTTTAAAAATTTTAACCATGGAGTAAGTAAGATGCATCAGGTTATCCCAGGGCTCCAAGTCTTCCGAGAAAGCTCTGAGCACTTCCAGGTAGGAACCTCCTGGCTGGCCCCACCTTGGGGGGTGTGAGCAGGGAGTGCTCTTTAATGTTATCCCTCACCAAATACTAATCATTAAAGTACATTCCACGTACTTTATGTGAACAGCTCATTGAATTCTTTTAGCAAATCTATATGTTAGGTGCTGTTATTATTACCATGGTTTTACAGAGGAGGATGTTCGGAGAGGTTAAATAACTTGTCCAAGGTCACACAGCTGGTACTTGTTAGAGTTGGACTCTACTAACTGGCGTTCTGGGGTCGGGGGGAGTTTACAGTGTGATGTCACAAGATCTCCATTTTTCTTGGCTCCCATGGCCCCGCTGGGGGTGCCGCAGCTGAAAATCTTGCCTACACGAGTGACCGCTTAATAAGGTTGGGTATATCCACTGTTGCCTTGGAGACAGGAGATCAGGATGAAGGGAAAAGTGAATTGCAGGAGGCCTTCACTGGAAAGGTCCTCAGAGACAAGCCAATCCATTCTTCATTGTTTACTCCAGGTCACTCAGCGAGTTAGTGGGGGAGCCAGGAGCTGACTGGGGCTCCTTGGGTGATATCACATTTCTCGATTTTATGCATCTTTATGCATTTATCTCTCACCATCTAAACGAAACCTCCTCTTGTCTGCAGACCATTAGTCCATACTGCCTGCAGTCCTTTGGAGGAGAAAAGGCCATTTTGATGCCCTCTGAAGACTAGGACAAGCACCGTGAAGTTGAGAACCATATTATTTGCTTCCTTAACAGCCTTCACGGCACCCGGCACGATGCTGGGGACACAGGAATTTCCTGGTACATGTTCGTGGAAATTAACTTAGGGCCTTTGTATGAAGAGGAGGACCAAACGTGGACAATGACCTCAGACCTGAAGTTTCTGGAGTGTATTCCTTCTTTTCCTAGAGCTTTTTGTCCTACAAGAATCCTGTGATATATGGAGTAGTGCTCTCCCTTTTTCTCCGTGGTCCCTCTAGCTTGGGTGCAGCCCCTGGCACTGGAAAAATGAGTTTCAGATAAAAACGAAATTCTTGTTCCCTTACTGTAATGCTCACAGCATGAAGCCAATTCACAGCAACATGGAATTTTCTGGTCTTTAAGATCTCATTATACAAGTAAAGGAGGGGAAGGAGGGAGACAGAATACTTACAAATTCCTGGGGGAGGGGGATGACCTCATCATTTATTGTGTGTTGGCCAACTGCCCAAGGAACACAGTTCAGATTCCTTTTGGGGGAGGCACTGAAAATCCCCTGATAACCCAAATTCTCTAAATCTTTTAGGCCTTGAGAGAGTCATGGAGAGCAAGGAGAAGGAAATGATCCCAAGTCCAAGTTATGTTCCTCATTAGGGGGCTGTCCACTCTGTGATGGACTTCTCCCACCCTGATTCCCAGATGGAGACCTTGGACTTCAGAAGTGTGGAAGTTCAATTTCAAAGGCCCCAGTAGGGTTTGAGGGGACGGAGTGGATAAGACTGGGTAGTCTGGGGGGAGAGTGAAGTGGCCTGCCTATCATATCCTGAGATATGTACTCCAGGGACGCATATGGGACATGTACATATGGATACATATTGGGACATGCAAACGAGAGAGCCAAAGCCACAGGAGTGTTGCAGTCCATTAAGCACTTCATACTTGAAGACTTTTCCCAGCCCCACAGGCATTTTCCAGACCAGGTGCTCCACCGTTAGCAGGGGCAGGGCCTCTCTCAGGTCCTAAGATGCTTTTGGGAGAATTAGAAAAAGACTCCCAACTTGGGGAACGAGGCATAGAATGGATTTCAGGTTGCACCTGTCTCTTGGGCAAGGTCAAGTGCTATGGGGATCCTGTAGCCCAGAAAAACAAAACAAAACAACAACGTGGGGCTCTCTGCTCATGTATGAAGTGGGACTCAGCCTTTCCATCTGTAAACGGTGAGAGTACCGCTGAGAGTACACCTTCCCAGATCCTTTCCAGATCGACGCCTCATGCGTCTGTGACCCTAGGGACAAATAATCACCCAAACCTAGAGCTTCTCTTTTCCAGCTACTTCTCACCTTGCAGAGATACGTGGAGGTAAGGGCTGGAGGGAAAGAGGGGAGGAGGGTCCGGGTGTGCAATTGTTTGGTTCAAAGAGCCCTGGAGAAGGAGCTGCATTTTTCTGGCTTAGTTTCTGAGCCTCAGTTTTCACCTCTGAAAAATGGAGAGAACCTAATAGGATAGCAGTGTTGTGGGGGATTTAAATAACCTTGCCAAGTGAAATTGCCAGGCAAGGAGTGTTGCGGATCCGAAGAGGGTTTGGTTGGGAAGGTTCTAAGTGTGTGTGTGTGTGTGTGTGTGTGTGTGTGTGTGTGACTGGACCTACGCCAAGGTCTGGTTTCCAGGACTCACGGCTTCTGGGACCCCCAACGGAGTTAGAACTTCAGTTCTGCGGCCACTGCCACCGCCTCGGCCCCGGAACGCCGAGAGTTAACGGGAAAGCCCCACGCCCCCTTTGACGGAGCAGAGCCCACCTCGCCGAATTTGAAAAGGCGGCCCCGGAGAGGCGTGGGCGCCCCCCAGACTCTTTCAGCTCGGACCCGGGCTCGCCGGCTGGCTCGCTCGCTCTTCTCCGGGCGGGGGCAGCAGGTCTGGTCCCGCCGCCGCCGGGGCGCTCCCCTCCGTTCCCGCGCCGGGGGCTCCGGGTCCCCGTAGGCAGCCCGCAGGATGCAGCTGGCCCTCCTCCTGCCCTGGGCGTGCTGCTGCCTCTGCGGGTCGGCGCTGGCCACCGGCTTCCTCTACCCCTTCCCGGCCGCAGCCCTGCAGCAGCACGGCTACCCCGAGCCGGGCGCCGGCTCCCCGGGCAGCGGCTACGGGGGCCGCCGGTGAGTGGGAGGCCGGCGGGGCCTGGCGGCACGGGCCGCAGGAGGCTGGGGGTTCGGGGCGGTCGAGCACGGGGGGCTGGGGACTTCGGGGTGTCGGGGGGCTGGGGATAAGGACAGTAGTGGGGCCTATGGGGCGCCGGGCGTTGGTGCCGGGGCTGAGGTCGTGGGGTGGTCAGTGTCTGGGGATGAGGACAGGGGGGTCTGGGGGCGCGGGGCCGAGGGGCTGGAGGTGCGGGGCCCACCCCCTCCTTTGCTCTCCCAACCTTCTCGCCTCGGGCTGCCGGCTGCGAGCGGAGGTGGCTGACCCTGCGGCAGGGGGTTGGGTGCTCTGTCCCCGGGGGCCGTCGGCTCACGTGGCGCCGCCGCTCACCTGCGCGGCCCGGCTTTGTGTTGGGCAGCAGGTTCCCGGTGGCCGAGGCCGTGCGTCCGCGTCCCCGCCTCTCCCGCCGGCCGCCCGGGACGCCGGAGAGGGGCTGGGGCCGGGGCCGTGAAGCAACCTCGGCGGCGGCTTCTCCGCCACCTAGAGACGGTAACCTGCTCGGACCGCGGTGGATCCGGGGAGCCGGTCCCGGAGCCACGGCGCCCGGAGCGCGGCGGCCTCCTCCTCCGCCGGCAGGGGGCGCCCTGGCCACTCTCCTCTCCCCGGGGCTGCATTTCCCCCAGAAAACGCGGCGGCACGCTGGTGAAGCTGCCAAAACGCCTCCTCTGAGCAATTCACTCGGCATGAGCCCCCCCCCCCCCCCCCCCCCCCGCGTTTAAGAGTCATTACGGTTCACACGGCTGTGGTTCTCCAGAACACACAACCTGCATTCGTACCACCCATCTCTTTTGAATATAAAACCACTCCAGCGTTTTAACTACTAGATTATTACCTTTCCTGTAACGGAGGAAATGGAGGCCAAGAGAGAAGTCCCAGTCCATTGGCGAGTCAGGACCGACCTCCTGTCTGCTTTCTCCAAACCCGTGCTTTGCGGCACCGTCCTGCCTTGTTGCTATGGAGGAAGGGGAGAGACAGACCCCATATCTTTCCTCCTTGTAGTTACCAAACCTGGGAGGGCGACCAAGTTGAATTCTGGCAATGCCTTATAGGAAGGAGACAGGGATGTTTTGTGCTGGGAAGAACACACACTTACTGGCTGGATAAGGCGAGACCCAGAAAAGCTTATAAGAGTGCTTCTGGAAAACTTTGCACGGACTTTTATTTCCTCCCCGTTCTGTTTGGAAATACTTACCCAAAGCTTCTAGTCTCCAAACACCCTCAGCAGTGTGGCCTCCGCACAATTCCATATGAGAGAATAGTCTGAAAAGTAAGCTTTTCAAGTTGCAGAATGATATGGATAGCATGATCTCATTTACGAAAAGTAACACACACAAAAACACTCTGATTTCTGTCTAGGTATATAAGTGCCTGGACAAAATAGGGTTATAAGAAACCATTTTCCATGGTTACCTATATGGAGAGACCTGGAACTGGGGATGGGAGGGGAGAGAGTAAAAGAGAACTCCCATTCTCCCCCTCTGCCTGTGTCTTGTTTGCATGTGTTGCAAGGAGCGGATATTCGTGCATTGTTTTTGTAATTAAAAAATGTGGGAAGGAAAACCCAGCCCCTGCAGCTTGGAATATGCACTCTGAAAGGAGCTGAAGTGATGTCCATGAAGGCAGTGAATGACTGAAAATGCAATTCTGGTGTTTGGTGGGCTGGGACATGAGGACTTTTGCAGAAATGTGGGAGGGATTGCTTTAGCTTAAATAAAAAGAGACCCCCCCCCCCCCAAAGGCCCTAGCCGGTTTGGCTTAGTGGAGTGAGCATCAGCCCCAGGACTAAAGAGTTATGGGTTCGATTCCAGTCAAGGGCACATCGGTATATTTCTCTCTTTCTCTGTCTCCCCCTTCCCTTCCACACTCTCTAAAAATCAATAGAAAAATATCCTCGGGTGAGAATTCAAAGAAAGAAAGAAAGAATGAGAGAGAGATGCAAACAAATGTGGCTGTCTTCCAGAACTCTTTCCATCAGATTGGGAGCAGGGAGAAAGTATAATTAGGTTCAGGGAGGATCTGGATGAATTTGCATGTGTTGCAAGGAGCAGATATTCATGCATTGCTTTTGTAATTAAAAAATGTGGGAAGGAAAACCCCAGCCCCTCAGCGTGGAATATGCACTCTGAAAGGAGGTGTGAGGGAGGCTTGGGGCAGGTTCCAGTGCTTCAGGTTGATGCTCCAGAGCATAACTGAGCCCTTCCTCACAGAGCCAGTGGGCATTGCAGGCCTGAGCTATCAGCCACAGGTGGCCCATGCCCTTGAAATTCAAGAGCTCCAGAAGCACACGGCTTGGGGACAGTGTTTGGCATGGTGCCCTTCACAGCTTTGGCTTTGTACGTGTGCTATAGTGGCTTGGTCTCAGTTGGCAGGCAAAGCAGCAGAGCTGTTTTTGACAGATAGCCTTCCTTTCATGATATTGTTCCTGTTGGAATCTGATTTTTGTACGTCCTTTCTCTCTCTCTGAATGTGTCTGCCCTCCTGGCCAGGAGTCTGGGTCTGAAATGTGTTTGGGGGCTCTGTTGATCTCCATCAGAAGCTCTTTGTTTAAGCTATGTTGGCAAAGAGGACCCCAGTTCCTCAGAGGGCTGTTTCCAGTAGAACCTTGCAGAGCTGGCCCTGGCTGGTGTGGCTCTGCTGGTTGAGTATCGGCCTGTGCACCATAAGGCTGGCGCTTTGATTCCCAGGTTGGGCTCTAGCTCTTGTGGGGTGTGTGTGCAGGAGGTAGCGCATCGATATTCCACTCACACCCATGTGTCTCTTTCTCTCTCTTGAAAATGAAGTAGTAATAATAATAATAAAAATCTTGCAGAGCTGTTCAGATCCCAAAGAAAAGCTGCAGGGTAATGCAACATTAATTTGCCTGGAGGCCTGCACTAAGGACTGAGTTTCCCTCCACCCCCCACTCCAACTCCCTGCCCCCGTGCCCCAGTTCTTCCATTTACCCTAGAAAAGACAGTACACTTGTGACACTATTTAAAGCCTTCAAACCTCACTCCTCCCCTCCCCCGCTCCTACAGATGTTTATTAAGGGTCTTGTCTGTTGTCTCCTCATCTCTATATCTAACCCGAAAGGGGCCAAACAGCAGCAGGCGACCAGGGCTCAGGACACAAGGGGTAAGACCAAAGAAGGGCCTGCACCCCCTTCGCGGTGCACATCTCCCAGCTGGAGGGGGAGAAGTTTTAATTTAGATAAAAGAGGAAGGTTTAATATTACTTCTTAGAGAGTGCTCTTCCGACTAAGAGAAATCAGGGGAGCTGTGGGACCTGCCGGATTCAGCAGAGGAGGGAATGAACACGCCCAGAGAGCAGGTTTGTGGGCCGGGGGACAAAGGACAGTGCTTCCTTTTGCTTTCCAGAGCTGGGTCTAGAAGGAGGCAGGGGATTGGATGGTTGCTTCCTCTTGGCCCTGAAAAATGGCACTCATTCCACAAACCACTGACTGCTATACAGAGGCCCGAGGACAAATGGAAGTTACATACAGTAGGGCTAAATAGGCTATGAGTCAAGCGAATGATGGTTAAATTAGTAGATTAAGTAAGTTCTGTCCTCCAGAATATACCTTCACAGTGACCTGGAAGGCAGATGCATATGAGGAATTCTTACTGCCTTGGAATTCTGCTCTGGAAGGTGTCTGCAGGCGGAGGGCTGCCCTGGATTCCTCTCACGCCGTGAGGATTATGCACATGCGTGAGGGTGATGCACATGCATGTCCAACTTCAGTCCACACCCCTTAGACTAGAAGTGGGCACACTGTCTGTGGGGTCTGCCCTTGAAGGTTGGCCTGGGAAAAATGGCCCTGGCTTTGGGTTTGGGCCACTTGGCCAGGGAACCTGAGCCCCCAGAGCTGGGTAGAAGGAGGCAGGGGATTGGGTAGTTGTTTCCTCTTGGCCCCACAGACTCATCATTTCACAGGAGGAGCACAGCGAGAGGAGGCCAGAGCAGGGTCCTCCAAGTGTAGGTCTAAGGGTCACTGCTTCTCTTACCGCAGTGGGGTGGGGGCTTCCGGCTCGGCCCCTAATTAATAATGTGAACTTGCACGCGTTTCTTAACCTCCTTGAGCCCTAGTCTGTCGGATGAGTACCCCATGGAGGCCAGGGTTCGGGGTATGAGGCTTGCTGGGAGGGCTTGTGCAGAAGGTGTGCAGAGCAGGAAGGGGCACACACATGCTGGGCTTGCACAATGCAGATCTGGCCTCATTCCCTTTGGCCCTCACCCTTCATCCTTCCTCACGGTGAGCAGAAGAGTCCAAGCTCTGTGGCCACAAGTGCAAGCCCTTCTCCAGCGCACACAGCCACCCTGGGCCCCCTTGGCTGCAGGCCACTCCTCCCCCTCCAGCCTGGCTACCTGCGGGTCATCCAGGTGTGCTCTCACTCCAAGCCACGCCTTCCATGATGCTGATACTAATGGATAAGTGGCAGTTTCTCTTGAACCCTCACCAGGTGAGGGCTGGTTTCACCCTGTCCTTTATCTGCATGAACCTGTCATTCTCACCACACCCTGTAGGGCTGCCTACTCCTCTACCACTCCCCGTTCCACCATTATTTTGGACACCCAGAAGTTCAGGTGTGTGGCTCACCAATACCCGGTGTCATGCTTCTAGATGTCCCTCCCCTCTTCCCTCCTCCTTAGCCCCTTTCCTTGGCCTCCACTTGCTCTTGCTCCCTGGCAGGAACCTCATACCTCAATATCTTAAACTCTGAACTCATGTCTTTTCGTCCTCATCTCTCCCTCCCTCCCTCACATGGCTAATCCCCATCTTTGCTCATTCCTTCTTCTTTGGTCTGTCAGCCAGTCCTATCTTCATGGCCTTTCCAGTCCAGCCTGGATCTTGCTGACACCCTCAACTTCCTGGCCTCTTGGCCTTCTCTCCCAGCTGCCTAGAGAGGTGTCTCCCCTCCGTCTCCCCCCCGCCCCCCCTTGGTCCGCCAGAAGGCCCTCTAGCTTTCTGCCGAGGGGCAGG